AGCGGTGCCTGCGCGCGAAGGCGTAGACGTCGATATCATCGTCGTCCTTCCAGTCTTCCTCCAACATATCCTCGTCCTCCTCCGCCTCCTCTTCCTCCTCAGAGGCTCTTAGAGCTGAAGGCTGTCTCGCATGAGGTCCGAAGCCCCCGCCCCCTCCTACATGGCACACCGAATAACAAACACATGTCATTAGTTACGTCCGTAGCCAGGCACATCACACGACGTCTGAAGACAAATGCGTCGCCGCCTTCGTCACGAGCTTCCACCAGCAAGACTATGTCGAGAGATGCGCGAAGGCAAAAGTGGTTGACGCCTGGGTCTGCTCAGTCCGCAGGGCGAGAGAAACCCTACAAAGAACCGACGAGACACCCAGAGAACCTCAGAAAAGGCTCAGACTCGAGACTTTCCTCGGAGCTGGGCGAATGGAGACCACGGCAGCTCAACGTCCCTCCCCGGACCCCTCCCGGGGTCCACACGCACCGGTGCTCTGAGCTGCGTCCAGCCGTGGCGGCGAGGGCCCCCCCCTCGCCGTCGCTCGGACGTCCATTCCCTGTATTTTTGTTTCGGTTTCGCGCGTGGTTTTTTCGCCAAATGATCAAGGATGCTCCTCGGTAGTTTTCGCCGAAGGAAAAGTGCACACGTCCGAACGATGCCAAGCCCCCGAAGGCCAACTATAGCGTTGTCTCGGCTCGCCCTCCTGAGATGCCGTCGAGCCTCTGGAGGTCTGGGGAGGGCGGCGGCGGCGGCAGCGACGACCGAGCCCACCCCGCCGATCACGAGGCCCCAGAGGCCGCCCTCGGCGACCGCGGCGCAGCCGGAGAGCAGCAGGCACCGCAGCTGCATTATGGCGGTGGCGTGGCAGTGCTTCCCGCGCCGGGGAGGGGCCGGCGGCGCAGCAGCAGGGGGCGGGGGCCGCGGCGACGCCGTCGGCGCCGTCGGCGGCGTCCTTCGCCGTTCGAGGCCTCCTGGAGGGGGTCCGAACAGATGGTATCGGAGGATCGCGCCGCATCGCAGATGCATCGGTGCTGCATCGGCAATGCATCGGCGACGACGTATAAGATCTGGTTCCGCATCGAGCCGCATCGCCGATGCATCGGAAATAGCGGCGCGATCCTCCGACCCCATCTGCTCCGACACCACCTGGAAGGCCTAGACTTAGGTCGGGCATGTCCTTTACAGGCGGATTGTGAACGAACATTTAAAAAAAGACAAGACAGATTCAAACATAGTCAGACATAGTCGAATAATCACACCCAAACTATTTTTCACTATTTTCTGAATACTATCCCTGTAGAGGGACATGCCCGACTAAATAGAGGCCTCCTCGGTGGGGTCCGAGTAGATGGTGTCAAAGGATCGCGCCGCATCGCCAACATATCGGCAATGCATCGCCGATGCATCAGCGATGCATCGGCGACGTCGACGATGCACTGGTGACGCCAGCGTGGAGAACATGGGGCTCCACATCGAGCCGCATCGCCGATGCATCGCCGATGCATCACCGATGCGGCGCGATCCTCCGACCCCGTCTGCTCGAACCCCATCTAGGAGGCCTAGACGTAAGCCTGGACCCGTGGATCTGCCTCTCATCCCGAGTTGTCCTCGTTGACGGCCCATGGGCCCGTGGGGGCCTCTGGGCCTGCCGGCACGGTGCGAAAACAAACACAGCAGCTGGGGCCCGGCTCCGCCCAGAAAGCCCGTCGGCCTCGTGCAGAGCGAGAAGCGTGCCCGGCCCCCTGCTGGCGCGCCGCCGGCGAGAGTGGGTGGTTCCAAGACGGGGTCCCGAGGGGCGCGGGCCCAAGGATGCAGTCGACCCGCATCATGAGGATGCGCGACGAGGATGCAAGGGCCCTGGACGCCCATTTCGAAGCTTTTCGAGCGAGGCGCGGCCAGCGAAAGTGGCGAAGGATGGACCTTGGGAAGTGCTCATCCTCACTGTGCGGGCTGACTGCAGGAAGGGATCCTCCAGGGGTGGACTGACGCTGTGAGAGGCACCCCGCCCTCAAGACCCACCCCTGCCCTCAGGACCCCCCTCTTGGAACCACCGCGAGGGTGTGTTTAGATCTTGAGACTGACGCGGCTGGGCGGCGGCGTGCGCAGGAGACGTCGGCGCGGGGGCCGCGCCGGCCCCGGAGGAGGAGGCGGAGGAGGAGGGGGAGGAGGGGGAGGGGGAGGGGGAGGAAGAGGGAGGAGGGGAGGATGAAGGAGGAGGAGGAGAGTGGAGGAGGGAGGAGGAAGGAGTGAGGGGAGGAGGATGAGGAAGAGCAGGAGGAGAGAGAGCAGAGGAGGAGGAGGAGGAGGAAGGGGGGAGGGGAGGAGGAGGAAGAAGGGATGGAGAGAGGAGAAGAGGAGGAGAATGCGGATCGAAGACCCTCTGGCCGGCCAAGCCACACAGAACATACCAAAGGGTGGCTCCTCCAACGAGGCACATATCAAAGAGCACCATTTGCCTATCCCCCGGAAACCTACCTCTATCTTAAGTGCTTTGGCCCCCCGCTCCGACTCGACCTTTTTGGGCGCCCGAGTTATCCGGGGTAACTCGGGCCCGGAGTAACTCGGGTTTAAATTCCCGAACAACGAACCCGAGTTAGCCCTGACCCGAGTTATCCCTGATGATTTGGGGCTCTGGACGCCCGAGTTATCCGGGGTAACTCGGGCCCGGGGCAACTCGGGTTCGGATTCCCGAAAAACGAACCCGAGTTAGCCCTGACCCGAGTTATCCCTGATGATTCGGGTCTGACCCTTCTGGGCCTTCCCGGGGCCCCCTCGCCCCTCGGGGCCCTGCACGGGAGGCGAGCGACCCGAGCCGGCGCTGGCGAGGGCCAGGCAGGGACCACTCCACGGGCGACGACCGCACTCATAAGTTTAGTCCCATGCTGGGGGGCAATGTTAGGATTAGGCCGGGCATGCCCTCCTACAGGCGCTTTCCGGAAGACAGATCTAACAACTGGTCAAGAGAAATCCAAAGTAGTCAAAAAGAGCGTATGACGAAACATCTCGTCACCAGACTATTGCTCGACTATTCTTGGGTATCCCTCCTGTAGAGGGGCATGCCCGACTTGACGTTAGGAGGCGACTGGCCCAGGGGGGCACGTCGACCTGGAATCGGCGACGTGTCATTGCACTGGCCTTGCAGACGTGCTGCAGCGGACTTCTGCGTGGATTGCTACGTGCATGTTTGCCCGAAGCGGCGAGCGATCAACGAAGTGATCTTCGCGTGCATTCGATTAGTCCTCATTCCTGGCCGAACGAATCCGCACCAAGTTCACCTCGGAATCTGGTACGCAATTCTCCAGGACACCCCAGGCCCATCCTACAGTCCAAAACCCTAATAAGGACGCGCGGTATGGACGCAAGACCCTTGGAAGCCGAAGTTGGGATTTTGGGGGCGGCGGACGACGAAAACCTCAAGGACGCAAGAGCAAGGAAGAGCAAGGACGCAAGGGTACCCTGAGCATTGTCGCGCGTCCTTATCAGGGTTTTTGACTGTACCGCTTTCCGAACGCAATCCGCTCTGCGATGTTGGCGCCATGAGACGTGGGGCGTCCCCGCGGTCCTTGGGCGAGGAGGGCCTCCCGGCAGCTACATCGGCGACGAGTGGGCGATCGGGGGGCCGAGGCGTCACCCCCCCCCTGAGTCTCTCCGACACTCACGCTGACCCCGATGGGGAGGAGGAGGAGGAGGAGGAGGAGGAGGAGGAGGAGGAGCAGGAGAAGCAAGAGGAGGAGATGATCGAAGGGAGGAGGAGGAGGAGAGGGGGGGTGGGGAGGAGGAGGAGGATGGGAGAGCAGGGAGGAGCAGGAGGGAGGAGAGTATCCCATGTTTGGGATTGAGCACAAGGGAGTATGAGGATGAGGAGGATGAAGCCTCCCCGTCCAATGCCTGGACCCCTCCCGGACTGGACACACCGAGGCGCCCATTCCCGCGATGCCGTAGATGGCGCAGGAGGGTTCCCTGGGTGAGGGCCGCGCGGGGCACCCAGTCAAAGCCCTCCATCCCGCCCCCTCCTCCTCCTCTTCCTCCACCACCACCACCTCCTCCTCCTTCTCCACCGCCACCACCTCCTCCTCCTCCTCCTACTCCTTCTCCTCCTCCTCCTCCTCCTTCTGTACCCGTGGTAAGACGCAAAAAACTTGGGCGCCGATCAAAAACGGGTCTCTCGCGAGGTGACGTGGCGATCTTGCGCGGTGGCTTACGCGGGCCGCCAGCGCGGCACGCTACGCTGGAAGCGAGGGCTTACGCGCCAATGTTGGCGAAGACGACCCTGTTTTATTGCGTCGCTCATCTGGGGATAAGTCCGGATGAATACACACCGGGAATCTTTGAGAGTCGGCGTGTCTGGAGAAGAGTTCTCGGGCACCGCGACTGTGGCAAAATACTCCAGAACGCTCTGGGACCGAGGGCAGTCTCCGGAACGCTCTGGAGGAGTGACCCTCTGGTGACCTTTGGTGCGGGCCCGATGGGGTCCCCCGATCGCCGAAAGCGAAGCTGTAGCAGCGGCTCGCGCGCCCAAGTTTGGCGACCCCGCGTCCCCCGCTAGGCCTAGCGCGTTCCGGACTTCTCAACCACGACCCCCTTTAAGGGGGTCGTGGCCGAGAAGTCCGGAACGCGAGGCATGCATGGTTGAAGGGGCCCCAGGACACACAATTAAATACACACACACATAAAAATATGCACCATATTTTCACATGTTTTCTCGGTTTTTGTCTTCCCCCCCACTTCCCATATTTTCCAATATTTTCTGGGGAGTCGACGATTAATTGTGTCTGTGTGTTTCTCTCCCTCCTGAATGGTTCCCACCTCCGAGCCAGGTCGCGAACCCAGGACGGCCACAGCAGTGCCCAACCCCGGGCCAGCGGAGGGACGAGTGGTGGGTGGGGGGCGGCTGCACCTGGCTCCC